CGAACCCACGGACCGCGAGATCGTGACCTGGATGAAGTCGGACGCTTAACCGACTGCGCCACCCAGGCGCCCCAAGTTATGATCTTTTTAAAGTTTTATTTATTTAAGTAATCTCCACACCCAACATGGGGCTGAGACTGGACCGCAGGATCGAGTCGGATGCTCTACCTACTGAGCCAACCAGGTACCCCTGAACACTATCGTTTTGTCAGTAGGCCAGTAGTTTAATGCACGTACTGTGGTGAGCAGTGGGAATTCTAGAATTTCTGGTAGGGCCAGATTGGTATTGGTCCAAACCAGAGTTCTCCCTTTTTACCAAACTGGCAATCATTAGATCTCCAATATCATTTTTCCTTTTCTAGGGCCAATTGTCCAGGCATCTCTGGTCAGTATTCCAAAATTACCATTTGGGAGAACATCACTTGGGACCATGATAGAGATTTGGCTACTGGTTTTGTTTTGTTTTCATTTCTTTATTTTTTTTTAATGTTTATTTATTTTTGAGAGAGAGGGAGAAAGAGAGAGAAAGAGAGACAAAGTGTGAGTGGGGTAGGGTCAGAGAGAGGGAGACACAGAATCTGAAGCAGGTTCCAGGCTGTGACCTGTCAGCACAGAGCCCAGTGCTGGGCTCGAGCCCACGAATCGCAAGATCGTGACCTGAGCTAAAATTGGGATGCTTAACTGACAGAGCCACCCAGGGGCCTCGTGTTTTTTTTTAATTTTTTTGAAGATTTTATTTTTACGCAATCTTACACCCAATGTGGGGCTCGAACTCACAAACCCTGACACCAAGAGTCGCGCGCTGCTGTGACTTCAGCATTTTTTTAATGATGACTTTTTTTTAAAGTTTATTTATTTTGAGAGAGACAGTGAGAGTGGGGGAGGGGTAGAAAGGGGAGAGAGAGAGAGAGAGAGAGAGAGAGAGAGAGAGAGAGAGAGAGAATCCCAAGCAGGCCCCACGCTGCCAGCGCAGAGCCCGCTGCGGGGCTCGAACCCACGAATTGTGAGACCATGACCTGAGCTGAAACCAAGAGTTGTACACTTAACTGACTGAGCCACCCAGGTGCCCCTTTCCTGGTTGGCTATTTTGTTTACTATTGTCAAGTTCTAGAATTATTTCCTCCTTTTTAAAGGAGTTGTGTCATATTTTTCTGAGAAGTCTCAGCCCAGGAAATGAATGGGGCAGGTACCAAGGAGAACAGGGTACGCATCTCCAGAAATCTCCAGAAGAGCCTAGACAAAGGAACAGGTTCAGAGACAGGAAGCTGTTGAGGGTTACTAGAAACTCTCCCCATCTGAAGGGTCTAGTGCTCGCAGCAGATACCGTCCTGACCCGGACAGGGGTTCCTCCGAATGGATTACAAGGGAGGACTGTGACGGCTCCTTGGAGCCCCACTGCTGGGGACTGGGACATTGGAAAGCTGGCTGAGGGCCCTGAAAGCACTGATGTCTGTAACGGTTGTTTAACCAGCATCCCAGCGCTCTGCAAGAACACAGAAATTAGGCTTTGGTTTTTGCTCAGGGGCCTTCATTTCCCAGAGTTGAAAATCTAGAATTTTAGTGGTTTTGCTTTTAGGTGACTCATCTAGGATACAGGTGAGCCAGTCTGCCAAAACAGCTAAATCTGGCATGGACGTAGTTTCCCATTCCAGCCTGGTCCTTTTTTTTTTTTTTAAGATTTTATTTTTAGGTAATCTCTACACCAACATGGGGCTCGAACTCACAATCCCGAGATCAAGAGTCACTCGCTCCACTAACTGAGCCAGCCAGGCGCCCCTAGCCCGGTCCTTTTAACTACCGGAGGAAGACCTGGTTCAGCCTGTTAGTAAACAAAGTTAAATGTTTCCAGGTGGATTCGACATCTAAAGGAAGACCAGGGGCACCTGGGTGGCTCAGTCAGTTAAATGTCTGACTTTGGCTCAGGCCATGATCTGGTTCACGAGTTCAAGCCCCGCGTTGGGCTCCGTGCTGACAGCTCAGAGCCTGAAGCCAGCTTCGAGTTCTGTGTCTCCCTCTCTCTGCCTCTCTCCCACTCCCACTCTATCTCTCAAAAATGAATAAGCATTAAAAAAATTTTTTTAAAGGAAGACCAGAATTTTGTTTGAAAACAACTTGCAGTTAATTCTAGTAGCCGTGAACAAGTCACCGGGCTTTTGTGTGCAAGCCCGAATTTTGCTCCCATCAACAGCCTTGGGAAAGGCTCCTATCGTTGTTCTGTAGATATTTCCAGTGAGTGTTCTAGCATCTTGCCCAACATAAGGGGTTCGTTTCTCTAAATCCCCTTCAGCATGTACCCGTGGGCCCGGCCCTCACCAAAAACCCGTATGGACTTAACTGACGCAAATCGGAGAAACCAGGTTGGTGAGCTTGAGTCACTTATGTTAAATTCTTCAACAAGCCTGTGGGGTCCTCAGTCACTTTAGGAAACTCTAACAATGCTTACAAGCCAGGCTTATTCCAGGCAGTGTCAAAAACTTGGGGTCTGTCTGGATCCTCAGAAGACTTAACTCCAAAGGTGCAGGTTTTGACAGTTTTAGGAAAGGAAGGAGTTGGGGAAGCTTGGAGGAAAGGGAAGCTTGCTGAGATAATCAGAATAGGGAAACCGAGTGTGCAGGAGGTGGGACAAGGCGGCTGCCTCTTGTCCTGAAACAGAAGACAGGGCGGTGGAAAAGGAGGCTCAGAAGCCTTTTTGTCTGTTTGCTTGCCTCAGTCTAGAAATTGTATTTTGCAGGCAGGCAATTTTAGATTCCTGGCAACATTTTGAAGCTTCAAAATTCCAGTCAAAGTAGGCATCCCATTCAGTTTTTGTTGTTTTTTATTTAATTTTGAAGTAATCTCTATGCCCAACATGGGACTCGAACCCACGACTCTCGAGATCAAGGATTGCACGCCGTACTGACTGATCCAGCCAGGCCCCTGCCCCCGCTCCCCTGCCCTTTTAATCAGTTTTGACAATTAAAAAAAAATTTTTTTTTTTAACGTTTATCTATCTTTGAGAAGAGAGAGAGCATGAGCAGGGGAGGAGAGAGAAAGAGGGAGACACAGAATCCAAAACAGGCTCCAGGTTCCGAGCTCTCAGCACAGAGCCCCACGTGGGGCTCAAACTCACGGAGTGCGGGGTCATGACCCGAGCCTAAGTCTGACGCCCAACCGACTGAGCCACCTAGGCGCCCCAGTTTTGACAATTTTAGAGCCATGGCTGTCCGGTTTTGAAAAAAGTAAGTTAGGGGAGATTGAAAGTTCCTCACAATGGCCCCTGACGTTCTAAATTACTTTTGGTTCCGTGGGTCTGTTTGGTTAGAACCGCACGAGAAGTCACCATAGTTTTTAAACATACAACTGGCTGGGGTCCCAGAAAGGGGGGATGTCCTCAAAGGAGTGTGATGTCTGGGCTCCCATTTCTTGGAGGTTTTCAGAGCAAACATGATGAGGGAGAAGGCAAGCTGACACCCCACAACCCTCCCCGAGGTGGGGTACATGTGACGTTCCTCAGGCACTCCCGCTGCCCAAGGACAAAGGAGAGGACAGAAAACAAATGGTCAAACTGAGAGTCTCCAGAAGTTTACAAATGTCTTAGTAAATTACAAGAAAAAGGCAATCTCATCAAATAGTCTCATCTGCAGAAAACTGTGGACTCAGTTTCCTGGAGCCCCAACACTACCCTCCCCTCCATGTGATGTGGGAACAAAGGCAAGAAGGAAACGGTAAATAACATTAAATTTATTACCTGCTGCCTGTTGAGAAATGCAGAGTATAACATTTCTCCAGGAACCCCATACTGTCCTAATGTTAATGCCTTACTAGAAGAAAACAACCGTAGCCCGACAATAGGGAGGTCTCCAGTATCTTAGGAGTTCTCTTCGGCGTATCAAAGTCCTTCTGGAAAACTCTCTGTTGCCTTTACCTCGCACAAGTCCATAGTATATAACCAGTCCAGCCCAGCGGTCCTGTCCTCCTGCTTTAATAAAGCCACCTTTTTGCACCAAAGAAGTCTGGGGAATTCCTTCCTAGCCGTGGGCTCCATACCCCCATCAAACAGCTTCCCGAACCTTCTAGTTCTGAGGAGGCTGACCCACGGCCATCACACAGACGCCGAGGGTAACCTGGCACTCACACACCGAGCGCCGAGCAAACTCGCCCTCCAGCTCCAGGGTGGGCGACAAAGCCGGGCGCTCTGGCAGCTGCGAACCGGACAGGTTCTCGCCTGTCCGCTCGCCGGCTCCAAGCTAGTTGCCGGGTTTCCTGTCGGGACTCCAGGTCACCGAGCAACATTAACCTCAAAAATCAAAGTTATTTTGCCAGCAAAAATGGGTTTCTTCGGGAAGAGTGGAGAGTGCAGCCCGGACCAAGCGGGCTACGGCAAACCCCAGGCGAGCCCACAGAGGAACGGGGCTTCGCGGGGGGCGGGGGCTGGGAAGCTGGGCGGGTCTGAGCCAAAGCGCACTGGAGGGAAGCGGGGCGCAGAGCGGGGGGGAGGGTGTCCACCCAGACGCAAACCTCGCGGCGGGCCAGAGTCCCTCCCGCGCGGAGCCCCCAGCGGGGTTCGGGGGACACTCCCGTCCCAGCCTCCCCTCCGGCAGGGCTGAGCCCTCCCCCTGGCTCATTTTCACCTTCCCAACCTGACTCCGCCTCCTTTATTTAGCCCGCGGTGGGCCTCAGTTCCCCCACCTAGGCCGCCGGCTCCCAGCCGGAAGTGCCCTGCCCGCCGCGACCTCCGGGTCTGCCCCGCCCCTCCCGATGACGCAATTCCGGCGCGCCGGCTCCAGCGCGCTTGCGGGGTCGCGGGGCAGTGACGCCGCGCGGGGGGGCTGTGGTGGCGGGAGCTGGAACCGCGGTCGGTTAGCGGGGTGAGCCCCGTGCGGGGACGCTGCCCGCCGCCAGCCCCACGCCCGCTCCGCCCCTCTGGGACGCCGGCAGGTCGTGCGAAGCCGGCCGCGTGCCCTGCGCCCGGCCCTGGCGCAGGCTCTTGGGCTTTGTCACGCTTCCGTGACCCCCCAAAGGTTGAAGGCTGCTGGACGGGAGCGCTGCCGAGCTGCGGGCGGCGGGCCCGCGGAGCGCAGGAGCCTGGGAGTGCAAGTTGTGAGCCTCTGGGTGTGGGTTTAGGGGGCCGCCTGGCGTTCAGCCCCGTCTGAGCCTCTCCCGCGGCTGGGAGGCTTTCCCGCCCCAGGGCCTGGAGCTGCGACCCCGGGGCCATGGCCAGCGTCCCCCAGCTGTTCGACGACCTGTGCGAGGCCCTCCTGCCCGCGGCGAAGGCCCGTCTGGGCCAGCGCGGCGTGAGCCGCAAGAGGGCCAAGCAGGGCCTCAAGAGGGTGGCCTACAACGCTCTTTTCACAAATCTGTTTCAAGAGGAGACTCACAAGTTGCAGGCCGACCTCTCGAAACTCCCGGTGAAGAACAAGGTCCTCCTGCTGTCCTTCGACCTGAGAGCAGGCGGTCTCGGCCCCGAGGCTGACCGTTTGGAGGAGCTTGTGGAGGAGCTCCAAGCAGCCCCTGGCTGTCCGCTGACGGAGGTGACGTCTGTTTTGGACCTCCTGGTCCGGCTGGCGGGCAGCGGGCCCCCTCAGGTTCTGCAGCGCAAGCGGGACTACTTCTTTAACAACAAGCATGTTGGGAGAAACGTGCCCTACAGCGGCTACGACTGCTACGACCTGAGTGTGTTTGAGATGGACGTTCAGTCTTTGATCTCCAGAGAGGAGTACTTATGTCAGGACATGGTCCGGAAAGCGCTTCAGGTGATGGAGGCGGCACCAGGCACTGGCCTGCCCACCGTTGGGCTCTTCTCATACGGTGACCCTTGCAGCGACAGGTTTGAGAGAGACACCCGGGTCTCGCTTTTCGGTGCCCTTGTGCACAGCCGCACATACGACATGGATGTCCGGCTGGACCTGCCCCCGATGCCTGACAGCGCAGACCTCTCTGGACTAGCCATTAAGGTAGAGTGTTTGCTGTCCTGCCTCCAGCTCCCAGGGCATTTGGAAATGCCTCTTTTGACCTTCCCTGGGTCATGGTAAAGGTAGGAGAGTTCTCCTGTCCCGGTCACTTGGTGGCTGAGCCATGGTGAGGCGGGGCTGCTGGAGTGGGCTTCCGCTTCGCGGGCAAGGACACCTCTGCCCACCTGCGGACCCGAGCAGCGGGCTGTGAGTCCTCTGTTAAGAGGTGAGGCGGGAGGTCGCTTCCTCTGTTCTCCAGAGTTGCTAGTTACACTTAGGTTAATTACAAGAAAGTAACCAGTTCAGTCCCTCCTTGTGCCAGCCACATGGAGCACTCAGTAGCCACGTGTTTGTACTACATGTGCAGTATTTTTCACCTACAATGTGGGATATGTCCTACGTTATTAAAGAAATCATTGTTGGCCTTTATGTTTTGTGCCTTTCTGTTGCTGGTGGATGTGCTGTCATTACTGTTATTCCCCTGATACAAGAAATTCTCACTGTCATGAACATCTTGGCATGCATACATTTTCTTGTGTCCACTGTGATTTTTTTTCCCTGGGTTCCCCAAAATGGAATTTCCAGATCAGAAGCATTTCATGAAAAATTCTGTCGTAAGTTATGTTGATACTTATATGTCTTATTAAATTGGAAGTTGATACTGTTTTTTAAATGTTTACTTATTTTGGGGGCACCTGGGTGGCTCAGTCAGTTAAGCGTCCGACTTCAGCTCAGGTCATGATCTCAAGGTTCGTGGGTTCGAGCCCCGTGTTGGGCTCTGTGCTGACAGCTCGGAGCCTGAAGCCTGCTTCGGATTCTGTCTCCCTCTCTCTTTGCCCCTCCCCTGCTCATGCTCTGTCTCTCTCCAACGTTTATTTATTTTTGAGAGAGGGCGAATAGGGGAGGAACAGAGGATCCAAAGTGGGCTCCATGCTGTCAGCACAGAGCCTGACGCAGGGCTCAAACTCCAGAACCATGAGACCATGACCTGAGCTAAAGTTACATTCTTAACCGAATGAGCCACCCTGGCATCCCTGGAAATTGATAATCCGTTTAATTCCTTAAATGATTCAGTGGTAGTGAAAATGTTGTGTGGTACCTACGTGCTTGGGAGAAATAGAGGAAATATTCCGCTAGGTATTTCTTGTAATTAGTAACTGGAAGTGTATGGAAAAGTCCTGGAATTCTGATCACACTTGGCTGAAATTTAGACCCAAAGGCATACGTGGTGTTTCCTTCTTCCCTGTGGTCTCCAGGTTCCTCAGAGTGTGGATCAGTCGGAAGATGAAGGGTTCCAGTCAGCATCTAACTTGACTCCTGACTCCCAGTCTGAACCAGGCATGACCCCGGACATCGACCTGTGGGATGCTGTGCTCACCTACGAGGCCAGCAAGCGGAGGTGCTGGGAACAAGTTGGATGGTACGTGTGCTTTTAACCGTGAAATGCACCCCCCCCCCCCCCCCCCCCCCCCCCGTGTGAGCATGGCTTTGTAGCCTGGCTCCAATGGGATTAGGAGCCTGGCAGTTTCAGTCAGGCTACTTTATAGAATTGCCCGGGTCACGGGAGGTGAGAAAGATGCCGAGGGGAAGGACCTGCCGGCCCCACAGAGGTTGCCCTGTGCCAGTGACTTCTCCAATTCAGACAGTCCGTTGGCAGCTGAGTTACGTCCTTACCGTGAGGGCTCCTGGTCAGAGGTGTCAAGGGCAGGCTGGCGGCCTATGTGGTCAGGGTCAGGAAGAGGTGCTCCCTAGGCACAGGGTGCCGGTGAGGGGGCGTTCTTCGTGTGCACGGGTCTTCACATCTGGGGCTGACGGTGCTGCTGTCTGGCTGATAAGTTCCGGTCACACAGTGCTGCCTTGACTGGGGCCAGCATCTCCGTCCTTGGGTTCGACTGGTCCAGAGGCCTCTGCACTCAGGACCTCTCCTGAGTCCTCCCAGGATGGGGACAGAGGACACACATTTCCCAGCAGTTACTCCTGGAACCTTCTTTTCCCATGTCATCTGCTGGCAGTTCTGTAGTCTGCCAGTTTGGGGAACAGTGAGGGGAAGAGTCAGGGCTAGCAGGGCATCGAGTGCCTTCTGATGCGGCCCTGGGCTCTGGCGGGGTCTCCCGAGGGTGGCCGCGGGCTTGCGGATGGGCACTTAGGTGCTGGTTGTGCTCAGGCGTGGCTCCTGCTGGGCAGCCACCTGTCCCTCCGCAGGCAGATTCCTCCAGGGATGGCCAGCTCCCTGCTTCCCTCAGCGCCACTGGTGTTAGTGGTCGTGTGGTCTTTCCTGTCCTGTAACCTCCTGTTAGGGCTTCAGGCCTGTCTTGTGCGCGCACAGCGAGTCTAAATGTTGCTGCTAACCTTTCACGTGAGTCCAGACTGGGCCAAGAAGCTAGCACTTTCTTTTGCAAACATTTGCTTGGTGGTATCTCATTTATCCTACTTTTCTAGGTCACCGTTTAGGAGATCACTCTGTCCGCGCCCCTGTTCTGAATGCACTTAATCTCCTTGGTGTCCCCCAAAGGCCGCTGACCGCAGTGGTCTTCCCTGTGAGGATGACTGGCCGAGCCCCCAGGACAGTAGTCTGTCCTCTCAGACCACCATGGGTGGCTTCTCCAGGGAGACCTTTAGGCCACGCTTCAGCTAGCTGTGGGCCCCACATTCACCTGTCCTGGTGGGAACCTGACCCCCCCCGAACGCTGACCCCTGGCCCCCTGACCTCAAGACCCTGGAGGTCTTCTGATCAAACTCATTTGGTAAATCTCTGGTGCTTGTTTCAGTTTGGATCCTGGGCACCTGCTAGTTTCCTACCCTGAGTTCAGACTAGTGGGCACTAGGGAAGGTGCTATCCCTCCAGAGGCAGAGCCGTCAATCCCCCAACAGCCCTAGGACCATGACCTCTGTCCTCCCACAGCCTTAGGACCGTGGCCTCTGTCCCCTGTACAGCCCTAGGACCGTGATGTCTGTCCCCTCCACAGCCCTAGGACCGTGACGTCTGTCCCCCCACAGCCCTAGGACCGTGACCTCTGTCCCCCCGCAGCCCTAGGACCGTGACCTCTGTCCCCCCACAGC